GTAAGATGGAGGGTCAGAGAAAAAGAGGAAGACCCCCAACGAGATGGATTGACCAAGTGGCAGCATCAATGGACTCAAGCGTGGCAAGAGTAGTGAGGTTGGCAAGGATCGGGCAGTGTTTCGTTCTGCTGTGCATAAGGTCACTATGGGTCGGTACCGACTTGATGGCACCTAACAACAACAACAAGAAGACTAAGTGTATTACTGAGGGAAATTATCTACAACTTCCATTGATTGTGGAGACATGCTTAAAAATGTTTTGTTTAGAATTAACCCATGCATGTATCAACTGGAACACTAAGCAATATTTTTTGTCTTACCATTGCATATGTAAAACATGATCACAATTAAATAAAATTCTACTAGAGCTACTTATAAAGAATGTATTTCTATTTCTTGATTGAAGTCAGAAAATTAGACACAAGCATCTTTTCTTTCAGCTACATTTGAGCACTGACAAACTGTTTAACTGCAAAATCTGTTTGTTGTTGTTGTTGTTGTTAAGTGCCATTGAATTGGTTCCAACCCATAGTGACCCTGTATACAGGGTTTCCGAGGAGTGGCTGGTAAGCTTGAACCACTGACCTTATGGCTCAAACCAACTTTTCAGTTCAGTTCATTAGCCCACAGCATTACAGCAGGACTCCTGAAAAATCTGTTTAAGCAGCAGAAAAACAAAGCACATCTTTTTATCTATGCACAAAATAATCTAAGGAAACAAATGTCTCCATGAGGTATTGGTAGTTTCTCAGAAGTAAATATTAGTTGCTATAGCAATCATAACAATTGTAAACTATTAGCTTCTGATTTTCTTCTGTAAATGTCCTCATAGAATATTTAATGGGAGTCCTAGTGTGGCGCTGTGGGTTAATGCTCTGGATTGCAAAGTTGACTTGAACCACAAGGTTGGTGGTTCAAGTTCACCAGCCGCTCCTTGGAAACCCGGTACAGGGTTGCTATGGGTCAGATTCCACTTGACAGCAATTAACAACAACAGCAACAACAGTATTTAATGAGCAAACAAATCACATAAAGCCCTAAATTTTGAAACAAACATTAAAATGCATTCCTAACACAAGTTTTTTCATATGTTTTGTTGGATAATATTATTGTTGGAAAATACTAATGCTCAAATCCTCTGTGGAATTTCTGACTGTCTTCATTAACTCTTTGATGACTTACTTTCAGGCGGAATTCTGGATCAAATATATCTGATGTATCGATAGAAAACTGAGCTTCACCATTCTCATCTGTGGTGTAATTTCCTATTGATTTGTCATTGAACTCCAATTGCAATAACTTGCTCACCATAGGTACATCATTTGGACCAGAAAATTTAAGCTGTATGAAAAAGAAAGTATTAATATTCTTAAAAGAATTTTCAGATTCCTAAAGAGAAAGCATTTTCTGTTCATAAAGTGATCCCTTAAACAAACTTATTTACTTGAGTTCCAACATAGAGAGATGCTCTATTAAGTAAATATATAACACAAAAAATTCAATTTTATCTATCACTTTCTCTCATTGTAGGTCTTTCTTCTAAAGATCAGACGCAATAATGCTTAAAATTCTTTCTCTTTTTTTTTTCCATAGAAAAATGGAAAGGGGGCGAGTGTCTAGAAATTTTCAAAGGGCAATCTCTGATCCAATTAAATGAAATCGAAACATGTATTTCTTTAATCAAACCTACAGTTCCAAGATAAGTAATTCCTCTTCTATAGAAAGGGTCTATGTTTTCAAAGCTCACACTCCCAAGCAATTGAGTGACAGAAACAGAGGTGCTTTCACTGATCTGCACACCTGTAAGAAAAGGTGAAAAGCTGTCAGAGAGGGATGCAATCATTGACAAGGATGTCAAAAGAACTGATAGCTTTGGATCAAATGTACAAACTTCTATACAGTCATATCCCTGTTTTACATTGAAAAGCAGGCATGGGTACTTTGGAACATCCTCCAGAGAACTCTACATCTGGTTATCAGCACTGAATTGTGAACCACTAAGTCAGCAGTTCAAACCTAACAGCTGTTCCTTGGTAACCCTATACAGGATCACTACATGTTGGAATGGATTCAATGACACTTAACAACAACAAAAATAGTTAGCAATTGAACCTGGTGTCCTCACCCCCAAGTATATCTTCTCCTTTAAAAAATGTTTTTTAAACAAATATATATTAAGTACCTAGTATATGTTATTTTGAAGTTCTGGTGTGGTACTATAGAATAAGCACTCGACCTCAAAGTCGGCAGCTCAAACTCACCAGTCGCTCCTCAGAAACCTTATACAGGGTCATTATGAGTTGGAACCCACTAGATGGCTCTTAGCAACAACAAAATGTGCTATTTTGTACTTCCCTCACTTTCACTTTTCACTTGCATGGCTTCCCAGTTGTATTAAATCGGAGGCTGGCACATTTTTCCTATAGAGTATGTGATAGTTAATATTCTAGATTGTGAGCCACACGATCTCTGTTGTAATTATGCAACTCTATTCTACTTATAATGGAGCTCTGGTAGCGTAGTGGTTACAAATCGGGCTGCGAATCTTGAGGTCAGCAGTTCGAAACTACCAGCTGCTCCGCGGGAGAAAGATGAGGTTTTCTGCTCCCGTAAAGATTTACAGCCTCAAAAACCCTGTACAGGGTAGCTATGAGTCAAAACTGACTCCATGGCACACAAAATCAACAACATTCTACTTATAAAGCCAAGTAAACAAATTGATGCGACTGTGTTTCAATAAAATCTACTTATATACACAGGCAGGAAGTCATATTTGGCTCTCATGTTGTAGTTTGTAGATGCTTGGAACTTCTGGGTGATGTAAACATTTAATGTGTTCAGCTATTAACTGAAAGGTTGGAGGTTAAAGGTCACCCAGAGACTTCTTGGAGGAAAGGCCTGGGTATCTAGTTCTGAAAAAGCAGCCATCAAAAAACGTATGGAATACAGTTCTCCTCGGACACACTTGTGGTCACCATAAGGTGGAGCTGACTCGATGGTACCTGGTGGGGTATTTGTTTATTACGTAATTAACACTAAGTTAAACATAGACACTCTAGGTGCAGCTAATACATTAACTCAACTCTACTACTTCAGAGGGAACTTTCCCCATTTGTCTAGTTGATACAGGCAGAGAAGCAGACATAAATATATAACATATTTATAATAAAATGATTTTAAATATTTCTAGGAAAATCTTATTCAAGAGCAATCCTCATTTTGCTATTTTGATAACAAGTAAATTGATCTGTATTTTATGCATATTACTGACTCAACAAACTTCTTCCCAGTAAGCAGCATACATCCCCAAATTGCCCATAAAATAAGATTGTTACCTGTGCCAATTTCTGTAACAATTGCCTTGATATCAAATGACATAAAAAATCCAGAACGGTAGAGTTGGAAGACTTTCGTATTTACAATTTGAGAAGCACAACCTTTTATCAACTAAAAAAAAATAAAGAGAAAGTATAATGAAAAAATTAGGGACACTAGAGGCTTTAAAAATTATCGAAGTTTTAGCAGAGATATATAATTGTCACCTGCCACTCCTCCTCATTGTCTGCCCCATGACTCCACCTCACAAACTTCTTAAAATGACCAAAGTACTGAAGAAGAAATAGGAGAAGGAAGAGAAGGAGGAAAAAAGAGAAAGGCAAAACAAGGCGGACAAAATAGGAAAAAGGAGAAGACGGAAGAGATTTTATTTACTTCACTATTTAAAATAAGGTAAAAAAAAGATATTCTATAAACCACAGTTTTCAGGATTTCAGGAAAATCTCTGGAAACAATGTAAGTAGAACTAGATTAAAGGTTGTCAATGGAGCTGAGTGGTATTTTAAAGGAGTAAAAAAATTAAATCACCTTAAAAGTCACATTAATCCTGTGGGAAATGAAATCAGTTATATGGTGGGCAAGTCCAAACATTTTATCCCCTCACAAAAAATGAGGGTAAAAGTGTTAAGATTTTTAAAGTATGGAAAGCAAGAAAATAATTATGTAAGACAAATAATAATTAAGTCTTTACTATTTTTAATTCCTATGAAAGACACAGAATTCTGGTGTGATGCTGTAGAATAAGCACTGGACTGCTACCTAAAAAGAAAGGTTGTTGGTTAAAACCCACCAGACACTCTTTGGAAACTATACGGGGTCTCAATGAGTCTCTTTGATATACCACGCTAGTAAAGTTTTACTAAAGGTAATACAGAAACGGCTGCAAGCATGCATTGATAGAGAACTTCCAG